TGTTTGGACTATTTAATATCCCTACCAATGGATGCATTATTTGTTGAACAGTCCCAAAAGCAAATCAAAGAGAAATTTGAAGAATGTTGCTAATCCTTTGTCACTATGACATCTAAAAGTCAGTGAAAAGCTGTGCTTTGCCCATTGAAACAAAAATCACAGAATCATATACTCATTTAAATTGGGAAAGACCCCTAGGATCACCGAGTCCAACCTCTAACACAGCACTGCCAAGCCCAACTCCTAACTCAAGACCCAGCACATGGTGTTGACCACTAAACCACAAGCCCAGGTGTCACACCACATCTCTGAGGGACAGAATTAGCTTTTCTATGACCTTGGCTGCTTGATCTCAGCCCAGTTAACAGCTGCTGTGTCTTTGAGCCACGAGATAGCTCCAGGAACATCACAGAACTGAAAGGTGGGTGTGCTTGTTCCAGCAGAGAAGCAGTTTGCCCCAGACTGTGACTACCAGCCAGTTTTGTGGCTGGCACTGGGATGGGTCAGGGCTCTGAAGGAAGATGGAGATGCTCCCACGGGCAGCATTATTTCCACAGCAGCAAGTTTCAGGACAGCGAGAGTCAGAGTTACAAATAACACAGTCAGCAGTGTTTGATCAGTTAATGAATGCTCATGATTCAAGGGGACTGGATTTCACAACCCCAAAATCCTCTTCTGGCCTGCTATCCCCCTGAGACTAATTGGCTGTACTTTATTGAAGACTTTAACTGCAAACTTCATCTGCTGGAAGAAACAGTCATGTGGTTCTTTCTAATCCTGTACTGTGACTTGTAAAATCAGAAGAAAAGAAAGAAGATGTTAAAAATACCAAGTAAAATCTAAAGTTGGAGCAGAACTGGCTTTTATGTGTTCAGTCAAAACTGAGTTCACTAGATACAGTAGTATTTCTTTGAATGGAGCAAATAAGCCTCAAAGATTTTATAATGAATACCCCTTGCACACATCTGTACAATGCAGTCTATAAAAATGGGAATGAGAGATGTCGTTCCTAAACACAGACCACAGGACACTTTTCTCACAACTCCAATAACAAGGTATAATTTTCTATCTGATCCTATTTGGCTTTTCCATAAGGAACCGTAAAAACCTCTCTCAAAATCCTGGCACCAGTGTGTGCAATAGGAATCCTAATGCTGGCTCTGCTGGAGCAGAATTTCCCTCTTCAAGAATAAAGCCTTGGGAGGAAAAAAATAGCGTGTTGGTTTTGTGGCTGAGCCAGCTATTTAAGTCCACGAGCCAGCAGAAACAAAGGGGAACCAAATAAAACTACAAAGCTACAAATGCTCCTTTTGGACAAGTGAGCCAAAACTCTTTTGACATTTATGGCTCTACCCATCCCTACCTGATAAGTCACACAGAAAGCTGCAACTGCAGATATCAGCAATCGTATAAATAAATTTTATTATGTAGCATGTACAGTACTAGTACAGTTAGATACATTAATCATGGGAGGAGGGGAGGTTGCTATTTTTTTTGCTGTCCCATATGGTAATAATTTTGTATGATTGAACTGTTATGAGCTAAATAAAAGTACACATTAACTGTAAAATACATTGCAAATACATTAAATCTTCCCTGGAGTTTTAGCAAATACGTGCTTTTTCTATCATGCATTTGGAATTATTATTACTGGGCCATAGGATTTATAAATAGATTTGGCTTCTTCTGCAATACTTTATGGGCAATTATTTCAGAAATGAAGATGAAGAGCCATGGATAAATCAAATAATTGCAGCTGATCAGGCTTTATTTACTGCTATCACATTTCCCTGACTGCTACACTTCTCTCATTTGCCCCACTAGCCTGAATCAGTGACCAGATGAAGAGCTGTCAGTTAATGTCAAACACAGAGCACAAAAAATGCCAAAGGCTGATTCTCATTTCCCCATTTCCAAATTCTGCCTGGGCTTTTCCGGAGCTGGCTTGCTCCCTGGATAAATTCAGTGTGGAACTGGGAGGCTGGGAAAGAGCAGGGGCAGTCAGAGTTCTGCAGTGTGTTCAGCAGTTTTCCAGGGAGCACATTTTGCTGTGGCTGCTCTGTAGAAGTCACTGCCAAAGGTCTGGAGAGCTCCCCTCCCATGAGCAGATGCCCAGCTGTGCCAGGGAAGGGCTGGCATGGTCTCTGCTATCTGCTGCAATCCCACTCAAACAGGTATTAATTCAGTTAGGAAGACACTGAATACAACTTTGTGTGGCAAAAAAACCCAGCTTTCCAGGCAATTCCAGTGAATCAAATCCAAGCAGAGCCTGGGACTGGCCTCATGTCTACAGAATCCCCTCCATGTACCTCACACCATACAGCTTTCAGTATCTGGGATCTCAGACAGGATGGGAAACTCTGGGTTATCAATATTCCTTGGGATCAGGCTTGAAATCCTACACTCAGCCCTATGTAACAGTTGTGTTACCTGGGGCTCATGAAGGAGGTTGCTTGTCTGAATAGGCTTATCAAGTCATGAGGAAAAAAAAAAAGGTGAAATTTCTGCTGCCTTGAAAAGCCACAGGGCTGGTAACACAGAAACAAGTGAAACATGTAGGATGCACTAGGTGGAGGCAACGTGAGTACCCACCAACAGCTTCCTTCAATGAGCTCATCTCAGAAATAGTCACCAGGATTATATTTTATGGCTCTAAACTACTTGGAAAAAAATTGTCTGCCAGCCCTGATGAGCAGAAATGTCTCTGAGCTACCTACAGCCTCCTGTCCTGCTAAGGAACATCCAGCTTTGTGAGACCTGGATAAAAAGGGTACCCCATGGAAAAGGGGAAGCACAATAAACATCTTGGAAGCTGTCAAGGGCCTTAAAAAGATCCTATAAGCATAAGTCTCATAGATTTAAAGCCTGTTTTTTTTTTTTAATTTTATTATTTTAAATTTCATTCTAGTCTGCTTATTTCTGTATAAAGTAATGATGCTGCAAACCTCTCCAAGAACTTCATCAACCACAGTCCATAAGGTGGAGAAAGAGGCCAGTGGGACCAGATGCCAAAGGAGCTAGGAGGATTTATGCTAGCTGAGCATCTGGCTCCTTGTTCCCTGTTATCAGAGTGAAGACAAATGTTTGCAAACACCCTTATTCCAAATCAGTAATGTCTTCAGGCACAGTCAGCACAATTGCAGCAGTGCTGCTCCTGGAAGGTGCTGCCTGGAAAAGCAGCTGCTGAATGCTTCTTCCAGGGGTTTATGCAGTGCAAAGAGCAGTGAGAAAAGAGGGGGTTGCTGCCCCTCAAATCAAGGCAAGGGAATGATTAAGATATCGTCATTTTCTGTTATTGTTCTAGTGGGTGGTAGTAATTGCTTCTACACAGGAACGTGGCTACACCTCTGTTGTCATCCATCACCTTGCTGAGGCTGTGCATGGTACAGTATTTTGATTTGACCTCATTAGCAGTGCCAGAATTACAATGTCATAGCAATGATAAAGGCTGAGATTATCTGCATCTGAGGAGATGCAGAAGGAGCACATCACACACGGTGTGAAAAGCCAGCAGTGCAACCACGACCCTGCCAAATACTCAAAGCAGCCTGAATCCCCTGGCTCTTGATTTTGCACGTGGGACAAGACATGATTAGGAATTGTGCCTGTATGCATGAAACCTGCAGATACAGGGGATGGGCTCATGCACTGGTGATCTAAACCCTCAGGGAGGGCACAGGGAGAGGAAGGGCAGGTGCTGGAGCAGATGCTCTCTGGTACCACCTTCCCTCTGAGTTGCCAGTATTATCTGTGCTTCCTCCAGCCTCTCCCAGGCAGCCAGAAATCCACTAGAAATGTGGAGAGATTTGTGTGCAGTTTGGGAGATGACACAGAGGCATTTGGCCTTTGCAGAAATGCCTTGTGCTCTCTGGAAGTTCATAGGATTCTCTTGTGATTCCCACGATAGAGGCACATAGGGAGAGTTCCTGCTTAAACTTCAGTTGAACGAAGGTCAGACCAATTTTTTGTACCTTCTGGCAGTCAAATAAAAGCAAGTCAAATCTGTACTTGTCTGAAGTTAATCTACAGCAAAATCTGTCATGGAACAGGGAATCTCTCAGTCTCCAACCAGCAGTTCCCCCTTGAGCTGTGCTCCCCACTACAGCTCTAACACAGTGGCAACACATTCCAAACCTCCCATTCTCACTACCTTAGTCTTCTATGGGTCATCTTAGAGAAGATAAACTGAACTTCTCTACAGTGGGAACAAAATAAGGAAATTAATTTATGATTCCAGTGGTACCCTTGACACGATACTGAATAGCTCTATTAAACATTTTGCAGCCCTGAGTGTCTTTACGAACCCTCTACAATGAGCACAGAGTCATTTTCCTTCTTACAAGACAAACATACACATCAGGATTCAGAAGTCTGTTTTGTATCTGAATAACTTCTCTCATCTCAGTGGGATCCAGGCAGGCACAAATCAAGGCTGCATAACCTTAGTCCTTCCCTTTCTCTCCAGAGTCATCACCTTGCAGTACCACTCTTGGATAAACTCATTTTTACAGACTCAGCATAGACCCAGTGAAATTACTAATACAACTCTTTAATACAAACAACAATAAATCAACTGATTAAATTCTAATTTATCAGACAAATACTCTTTAGCTCTTCCCAAAGCTGTTCTGAATCATCTCTCTTGTCTGGCCATGCTCCAGAGGAGCACTGACACTAGATAAAGCTCAGACCTGTGCAGTAAGTTTACATAAGATAGAAATGCTGAAAACACCCTGTATTTATGATGGGACATTTCACAGAGATCAGAGTGAGTAACATTCCTGAGAAGACTGTAATGTCTCTGAAGCCTCCTCAGCATCTCTTCCAAAGACCAATCTAGCAGGACCAGGGATCTACAGACCCTGAAGCTCCAGGCTCAGCAGCAAGGCTCAGGGACCAGACACATTAACCTTGGGAGATCCTACAGAAAACTTTTAACAGCTGAGAAAATGCTTACTCCACCACAATTCCACTTTAAATCACAGAATTTTTTTACTTACTTCATTGGTTTAAACAGTGCTTGTCCATAGTTCTGGAATGTCATGATCAACTTCAGCTGGGTGCCTCCTGATTTCATTGCTGTGGGGGAAAAACACAAAACAGCTTTAAAATGAGACATGTGGATCTACTGACACTCAGTTTCCTTGAAACCAAATCATATCTGTTTTTCTCTGTATCAGTTCAGCACTGTGGTATCAGAGTGATCAGACTCATCCCAACTGGGCAACAGATTATTCAGCAGAGTACAGGGAAGGGCTTTGAGTGCTGACCAGGGCTAAACATGGATTGTATTTCCTGACACTTTTTTGCCTTTTTCTGACCACCATGGTCTCCATGAGCACCCCAGATGAACATTACCGAGAGGAGCAGACCATTGGAGTCCTGTTTTCCCCACCTCGTGCTTTTGGAGTCCCTTTTAACAAAGGACTCACCCTGGGAAAGGAGATGGGGTGCTTTCACAGCCAGCTGCAGCTGGGATGTACAGCCCAGTGCACAGCAGACAGCTCCTTAATTAAAAGTATGAGCAGATACTGCAGCAATCTCTGATCTCTGCTGTGATTTAATAACTGTTCCTGAGCGGCAGAGATATGTAAATTCCCCTCCTCTGTGCACAGTGGATATGTAGCCAAGCCCAGCCATCACCTTCCAGGGATCCCGAGGTGGTTCGTGCATGAGGGCAGAGCTGTGCAGAGCAGCCTGGCCCGGCTTGGAGGGCACTAGGGGACAGTGAAGGTGACAAGGACAGTGACTTTGCTCATCTCCCAGCTGGGAGCTAATGGGAATTGGATACTCATTCATACCATTCTGAGAAACTTGGACAATGTCACAGTAACAGACAGATTACAGTATTTTTAAAAATTAGGATTTTAAAAAAATATATAGAAGAATTCATAAAAATGCGTTTTACTTGATGATAAGGCCACTTAAAAAAGAGAAACATATACTTCAGAAAACAGCTGCTTTTCTGCTGCCTCAATCACAAGCTTCCTAATAAATGAAATGACCTATAGCCTGACTCCTAAATGCACCTCTGTGTTGGGAAGGCCAGCAGGGCGGTGTGGATGAGTCAGTCTTTTAAAGATCCTTTCTAGGAATCATCAGATAATCAATCCCTTTCTTTGCAGCTCTGACAAAAGCCATGTCAACTGGAGAACTACATAAATGTCAAGTTATCTTGCTCTGTAAATTCTGGCTGAGAGTTGCCCTTGTTCCACCTATACAGCTTGTACATGTTTTTTCTCTAATCAATGCCATTAGCTGCACATCTTTTTAATTACTCATCTCTGTGCCTTATCACTAATAGGTCATCAGGTCTCTTTCAGAACTTGTAACCTATATTTTTATAACAAAATGCTATGCAAATATAGTCAGTGTAATTACATTTCTCCTGGAGCAAAATCCCTCCTGTCCTGCTGTTTTGCTGATCCCAGCCTTTTCTTGCCTTTCCGCTTTATCCCAAAGGAACAAATAAATAATTAGAAACTAAAGGGCATTAAGCAATTTGCACTGACCAGGTAAAGCAGAAGCAGAAGGCTTTCCTGGATTAAACTCCCTCCCCTGTGCAGGATGGGCCAGTTGATCTGCACCTGAGGGAGGGAGGAGCACAAGGCTTCTTCATGGCCAGCTCAGAGCCTGAGGACAATGAGAAGCAGAAACTTTCCAGTCCAAGCCCTGCCTGTGGTGCCATCTGTGCACTCTGAAGCAGCCCTGGTTAGTGTGGGCAGCTGGAGCTGCCCTTGCCCCCTGCCACAGGGACACACACAGGGCATTTCACACCCCACCACCACAGGCCTGGCATTTCAAAGAATCACAGCATGGTCTGGGTTGGAAGGGACCTTAAAGACTCACCAGTCTAACACCCTTGCCACCAGAGCAATGCAAAGAAGGAAAAAAAGTAAGTTTTAGACACCCTTCTCTAGGCACAGAGCTTCAGATACTCAGAGGACTGGTTTCTCAGCTAATTAAAGCCACTCGACAGATAATGATTTTGTTAGCAGCCAAACTCAACAGCGAGGATGTCATCACCAAGCAGGGAAATGTATGAAGAAGATTAACAATTCAGAATAATTCTTCCATGAGACACAAAAGCCTGGTTTCCTGTCAGAAGGAACTGAGCTGAAGTAAGACAAAAGCATCTCCCTCGACTTTTTAGATCTATCTTATTGTATTCCCTTCATTGGTTGCACCCGTAGCCTCACCCCAAGACAAGTTTTGCTGCCTCCCACTTCTGCTGGGAGCAAGCTTTGGAACTCTGAAACCAGAGGGGGCACGGGTGGGAATTGTGTCCCATTGTGCTTTAGGGCAGGGCAGGGTGGAAACCGCATGGAGAATGGAAAACCCAATGCCAGAGCTCCACCTTGGCCTCCTCCTGCTATCCACGTGCAGCTCTTCCCACTTTGTCTGCTCTTCCAGTGGCACAGATGTGCTGGCCAGGCTGGGGTGAGGCAAGGCCACCCTCCACATCCATGGATATATACCCATGGACAGAGCCTGGCATTGTAATCCCTGCAGAGGGGGAACACCTGAGCTTGGACTGCTCCTTTGAGCTCGACAAGAACCTTGCTTTACCTGCAAACTAAGCAGCCTTGGAGCAGTCCAGGATGCCCAAATTTTGGGAGTGGCAATGCCAGAGAAGAACAGATTTCACCTGGAGATGATCCACTCTAAGTCAGATCACTTCCCCTGTCCTAACCTAGCATCACATCTGCACACTCTCCTTGTCTGAGCTGTGCTCCTCCCTTTCCTGCCCAGCCTCAGTTAAACATGTCCCTCTAGCCACTGTGGCCTGTCATCTTGTTTGTCCCAAACAAACATCATTTTCTCACCTGGAAACATCCCCGTGCCTTTATCTGCTGCCCACAGGCCCATTCCTGAAGAATGCACAACACCCAGGAGCAGCACATCCCATTTTCCAGGGAGTAGAGGATGCTGCACCACTGCAATCTGTCACATCTGGGATCAGCAGGTTTGGGGATTTTTACAAAATCCTTGCAACACAAGGCTCTGCTGACTCCAAAGGAACCACCAGTCACACTCTAAATTCACCTTTTATTTTTTTGAAGTATTTTAATATACTGTAACACCATAGGTCACAAACAGCTCTGTAAAGGCTTTATAAACCTGCTAGCTCACAGCAGGCACTTCAAATCAAGTCTCACACAGCTCCTGGATGTACTGGCACACTGCTAAAAAACAAATCCCAGTGCCATCATTACTTTTCATCTTCAGGCAATTCAAAGCCTCTCTTTTCCCTCCAAAGCAGAAGGAAATGGCAAGAAGCATTAACCTTTCCTGTTAACCCAGTGTAAGGGCTCTAGGGTGTGATCAGAAATCTTCCTAACTTCAGGAGGCTTTGCAAAAAATTCCCTGAGATATCTTTTTGCCTGAATGTTTGGGATTAGAGTCTTGACCAAAGATTAGTGAAATTGGTGGGATTCCTTCTGTTTTCCCTGACAGACTTTAGATCAAGGCTGCAAAAGTCCCAGCTCCATTTACATCCCTGAGCCTGCTGCCATGGCCACCTGCCACGTCTGACTTCCCCACCTTGTCACCTCACCAAGACAAGTCCTGGATCCCCTCCCTGAGCCACAGACCCCACCCAACACAAAAGGTGTCCCAGCTGTCACCTCTCAGGCATCTTTTCAAGCTGTATGCTACAGGGGTCCTGGCAGTCTGGCACTGACAATGCTGCCCAGAGGGATTTGACCCAAAGGGATTTGGAATTCCAACTGCTCTGCCTGTCCAGCTCCTCTGCCTTGCTCCACCACAGCCCAGATCCTACCATCATATGGTTTTCTGATGGAGAGAGAGAGTCCCAACAGGATCTCTGAACTTTTCCTGATTCTTTTGGTCAGCATCCAACAAACATTTTAAAATGTATTTAATTATGCAGAGCTAATGCCTGAGCAGTGAGATACAGTCACAGCCTGGAATGCAGTTAACATCTCAAACAGAGGATGCTAAGATCCATTTTGGATTCCTATTTATAGATCAAGCTCAAATCTAACATAAACAGGGTTGACTTTACCAAGTAATGCTCTGCCCCAGGCTGGAGACCTGTAGCCTGTACAAGGTGTAAAGAACATATTTTTAAATAAATTCAAGACCTCATCATCTTTTCATTTGTCCTTGTTCAGCCAATTCTGCTAACTTGGTTTTTAAAGGACTTTTAGTCAAGAAAGTAAAAGATTTCTGCAGGGGAAGAGATCTGTGAAATTATTCTAAGGTTTTGCTGTGCATTTTAAGTCCCCTCCTTTCATCTGGAATTGTACATTAAATCAATCTGTTGACTCGGCAGATCCATTGTTTCCTTACACAGTAAATCAAAGATGCTGCATTTCATTGTTTTCCACAAGTTCTCAAAAGCACTTCTTCCTTTCCTTTGGATGAAATGTTCACGATTTTCTTTAGAGCCAGAATTTATGTTCAATATTTAGAGTCTTGTCTTTCTCTTTTCTCTTTTCTTTCCATGCCTTGAAGCAGAGTCCACCTCAGGTAATTGCAGCTTTTATTCCCAGTGTGAGTAATCTCACACACTTGCTTTCTAATTACTGCCTGTACAAACTGAAGGCATCACAGATTCACAAATTACCTCAGTCAGGTAGTCAGTTCTCTTCACGGCCAGAGAACTTAAAGAATCAAAAAATAAATTCCGGCTCCTCAGAGGAATTGCAAAGTCTATTCTGCTTACAGGGAGTCTCCTCTGGACAGCAAGCCCAAACCCACAGTGCCCCTCCAATGCACCATGCCAGAGCTGGTGCTAAACTGCTGATAGTGCTGCCACAATTATGCACAGACATCTTGTAAATATGCAAGAAAACAGCTAACTATGGTTATTTATGCATGCAATAAGCAGCTATGAAAGGCAAAGGAAATGTGCAATTGCCTGTGCATGTGCTTCTGAAAGCCAGGCTTCAGTGCTCAGTGGAAAAATAATTCTCTGTAGGCTCCTATTTATGGCAAGAGGAAATTTTCAGTGAGTTAAATCAAATTAAGAGCTATCCCTTTATGCTGAACGAAATGAATAGGAAATATGAGTGTATATATATATATATGTGGGGCACAGAAAGATCCTGAGCTGGGTAACCCTGTCCTTTCCCAGGCCAGCTCTAGGTGTCACTGTGGGAGCTGCATGGGATGCTCCTTCCCATCCATGGATTTGTTCCATTTAAACTTTAACATCAAGCAAATGTCACCTTGGTGCTCCCTGCTCTTGGGAGTTGCTTCTGTCACCGTTTTCATTTTAAAACACCTCTGCACATGACAGAGTAGTGTGAGTGGCTCTAGCAGATGTGGGGGATCAGTCTGGTCCCCACTCTCACCCATAAATAATGCAGGGTGAGGAGAGAAATCACAGTCTGGCCAAGAATACTGCTTTGCTGCAGTTTGGATCTAATTACTGTGGGTATCAGGCAAATCACCTAATTCTATTAGAGCCAAAGTAAATCTGAACACTGGGAAGAAACTGGATAAAGCCATATCCCATTTCACCTAATGCAAGTAACCCTGTATATTTAATTGTCTGCTTGCTAAAAGGAGCCTGAAGACCAGACATTATCAAGGTTTCAATTTATTTTATACTCCTAACTTGATATCTTTCCAGCTGCCTTAAAAAGGAAAAAAAAAAAAAAAAAAACAACCTAGTAAAAATTGACCATAAGGAAAAAAAACCAAGGCTAATTAGAAGATAAGCAGGAATATGCAAAGAATGTAACAGCCCTATAAATGTCCTTTGGTCAATTATATTACCCTTTATTAATCAGATTACATGCTTTTGAATCCCTCTGCTGCTCTGCAGTAAAGCTGAAAGCTAGCAGGAATTACTTTAAAACGTGTATTTTTAAACATCCAAAGAATTTGCAACATAAAATAAGAGAAGTTGCATTGTGCAAACAATAATTTTTAAAAGTGTTTTAGCAATATACTCTTTCTTTCTTTGCAAGCTGAAAAAACTCCTGAATCCCACAGGGTCAGGCAGTGTATGCTAACACCAAAATTCAGATCCTGGCATCTCTAGATTGGCAAAAGTTCCCTTCCATTTCCATATACTTGATTTTAGACTGGGATTTATGTGTAGGAATCATTCCCTGTCAGCTCCCATAGCGGCCAACAACAATACCAAATACACCTCATGGTTTAATTTATGGAAATTATCCTGATTGATTGCTAGAAACCATGGCTCTGTGTTTTTGTTAGAGGCATAAGAGGCCCTACCATGCTCTTAAGAGCCTTGTTCAAACATTAACAGAGGCAATCCCAAAGGGAATTGCTAATAGCAACCATAAATCTTCCTCTGTGGTCCCATGGCCCTTTCCCCCACGATCAGAAAGCTCCATCAAAATCAGAATTAATGGAAACCCCATGATACATCTGTATGACACATTTGGTGAAATCATGGCCCCAGGGAAGTAAGTGGCAAAAACTTCCACTGACGTCACCAGGGTTGGGATTTCACTCCCATTTTTTATGATAATTCTTTGCTGCTAGGCCAGCTGAAGCAGAGAGAGGTGAAGCCACATGCCCAGAAGCACAAGTGAACACCAAGCCCAGAAGATCAAGTGAAGAGTGAGCACTAAACTATTATTTTTTGTTTCTACCTCCTTTTTTTCCCCACCAGCTTCTATGTCCCTAATCCACCTCAGCCATCCCCCTGCTCTGCAGAAGGGACAGATTTCATGGCTGGAGCACTGCTGAGTTTGCTGCAGACACTCTCCTCCTGCACAGACAGTGCAGCTGAGCTCTGGACTGCTGGGGAGGTGAGTAAAGATCAATACTCAGCAGCCATGTGGTGCAAACTGCTACAGCCACTGTACTTTGTGCAAACCTCAAGAGATGGCTCGGTTGGGCATCACCTCTGCCCCTCTGGGGACAGCTGGGCCACTGCCTGGCCACTGCTGCTCTCTGTGGGGACAGGGATGGCCACAGACTGCATCTGTCCCTCCTCAGTGCATGTGCCCAAGGAGCAATTTCACACACGTGTTACAAAGTGCTGGCTCAACCCCCATTTACACGTGCCACTAACATTCCAAAAACTGGTGGGTACTGAAGGGTGGGGTAAGGAAAGGTGAGGGCTGTGTCTGGGGGAAAATCCCCCAGGCTGTGTCCATACAGTGCCCTCGTCACCCTCCAGTGCAGACCAGAGGAGCATGGGCAGTCTGCTGCTACCTGCAGTGTCACCTCTGTGCTGGGGAAGGGAAAACACAGGGCTTGATGGGCAAACATGACCCCCCCTTAATGAATCACCTCAGTCCAGACCTTTGGGGTCAGAAAACCCATCACAGGTTAATAAGCAAACCCATGTTTGTCCTCTTTCCTGAGCTACAAGTCCACTGGACCCTTGAATCCAACATGTGGGATGGCACCTGGGTACCACAAGCTGCTTTATTCAAAGTGCTGCTCCAGCAGAGTAGTGCACTGAGCACAGCCAACACACAGCCAGATTCACTGGGCTGAAGGTCTCCTGTGGCATCCTGCATTTTACACCTACTCCATCCCAACCAGCTAAATCAGCCCACTCCTGATGACCTAGGATCTCCTTTATTCCTGCTCAGCAGCCACAGTGATTCACACAAAGGAAAATGTAAACCTTAGGGCTGCTTGAGCTATTCTTGCCCAGACCATTTCCTGCTGAAGCCAGGGGAAATTCTGCCTTGCAGGGTTAAAGACCTGCTGACCTCATCCCACGGTGCCAACACACCATCAGCACTTTCACAGAGCTCCTGCTATTTCATCCCTCTGAAAGGGACTTTGCAACTCTGTGGTCAGCACAAGTAACTCCATTTTCTGCCTGGTGGATGGAAACCACTGCCTGTGCTGCAACTCCCTACCTTTGGAAACCACGGGCTGTGCACTTGTTTAGTATCCCAGGGCTTTCATCTAAGGTTGTGCCACTTCTTTCCCTGCGCAGCTGCGCAGCTAAATTCAAGAAGACACGCATTGCCATTAAACAAGCCTGGAGAAAAGCCCCGAACGGCGTCACCTTGTTTAACCAGAGGCAAAGGCTGACACGGGCACATCCCTGGTGAGGATTTACAGGCAGAGCAGGCAGAGCTGAGCTGTGCTCAGCAGGAGGCTGGCTTGCCTGGAGCTGCCTGCCATGCCCGGGGAAGCTGCAGCTCCTGCAGCCGCAGCGCCCGCGCTGCCGCCGCAGCAGGGCTGCAGGGCTGCCAGGCACAGCCTTTTAAATAATAATCAGCCACTGATACAAAGCTAGCTCGTGCAAGATGCTGTCTGCTTGCTGCCATCCCTTTTTTTTTGTTTTTTTTTTTTTTGTCAGCGTTATTTATTTTAAATAACTGAAGAGGGCACTTTCAGCCTGATTGTGACTAAAGGATCTCTGACACAAACGGGGTTTGCCTTGCTGGGAGGCTTGGCAATTATTCAGGTAATACAGAGCTGGCAATATCTCTTTATGTTTACCAGGGAAAATGAGCAGGGAACAGGGAAGTAGGAAAGCAAAGTTGCAGGGATGCTGGAGAGAAGCCATGCAAAATATTAATACTCAAACAGCAGTGAGATCTGAACAAAGAGCAAATAATGGTAAAAAAAATATCCAAACATACCAACACTGGTTATCTTTTGGGAGACAAGGTCTTGTAGTAAAGCCTCAATTGCAGGATTATGTCTGGAATACAGCTCGTACCGATTAATGCCAATGTGGAATTTTAACCAGTTTGGGTAGGAGTCTATGGAGGTTTCTCCAGTTGGCAAAAATCCTTCATGATGCTCTTCATTTTGCCTACCACCAAAAACAACACAACAAAAACCCAAAGTTGGGGAGAAAGAAATAATGTTACAGTTTGTAGCACACATCAAGAAACAGGGCTTCAAAATGTGACAACTTGGAAAGGCAAAGCGCTGCAGAAGGGAGAGAGGTCCCAGGTTCCTCCCTGCACCAGGAGCCTCCTCTCACTTGGGGCCAGGGAGGAGATGGATTCCCACTTCCCCTCATCCTGCCTGACTTATCACCCATGAAAGTCAGGAGCAAAACTCAGAGAGGCATCACTGAGCGCTGGCAGAGGCCCTTCTATAGCACAAACACAGAGCTCAAGTTTTACCTTGTGTTTAGGTCCCATTATGTTGCACACAGCTTCTACAGGTCTGACTCAAATAACAGCATTATCCTGAACCTTTATTTAACAGGGACATGGGGCAGGAAACCAAGAGTGCAGCAGAACCTGAGCTGTGGTGCCCAGTCCCTCCTCCTTCTTAAAGAGGGAGAATGAGAGAAACTGCATCACTCTGAAGCAGCTGTCAAAGAGGAATCGGCTGGTCGTGCCCCTTCCCGAGCAGTAGGAACCTACCACAGCAAAGAATTAATTAAAATGATCACTACCTTCTGAATTTCACTTCAGTTCTGTGAACCTTGGCTGCAGCCACTAAGGGAAATATGTACAACAGGCAGCTGCACTGTGGAGATCAGTGTTGATTTCACTCTTCGCCTACTGAACAGACTAACCCATATTTTTGATCCAGAGTTCTCTGTGTTTACAGTCATCTCCAGATGTTCAGGCATTTGTGACTTTTTTTTTTTTTCTTTTTCTTTCAAAGAGCCCAAAACTTTCCAGGTTATTTCCCTTCACAGTCAGTTAGGATTATTAGATGGAATGGGCCTGGACAATTCACATGCTCATAGGGCAGAAATCAGAATTATTTATCCTCTCTTTCTAAAGGTTTAGATCATGCTGGCTGCTCTGCAGCTTGACAGAGCTTTTGCACGGTACAATGCAGCTGTTTAAACATTACAATGTCAGTGTGTTTGGAAGAGGGTGCTGTTGTATTAGACAACCCTTTTGATTTTTCAGTCATTGAATTTCTTAGCATTTCTTAGGAGCCAACAGGGCATACGATTCACAGAGGCAACTGACTGCTTTGAAGGCTGGAGAGCGGCGGAGGTGCAGGGCACTGGGAATTAATTGAGGATGAAAAATGTAGCCCAGATCAGATCCTGAAAGCGGAAATACCTGCCAGGATGAATGCCTTTGTGGCACTAGAGCCTGCTTTTGAGCAGGGTTAATGTATTACTGTCTGGCCTCACTGCTCAGCCCCTTCACCTCTGGGTGGGAGACTGGGAAGGTGCTGGAGAGGAAGGCTCGCTGTGAGCTCACCCTCTTCCTCACACCGTTCTTCCGGCAGCATCTGCCTCGGCTGCAGCTGGAGATGGGGCAGACGGACCCCTTGGCCTCAGCGCTCCAGCCTTCCCGTACTGCCGTGTTTGTTCTGTATTTCAGGGCATTCATTTCCCGAAGGAACACGGCCGGGCGAGCCTGCGAACGGCTGCTCTTTTCCCCGGTGACCCCGAAACGCTCCGTTCAACCTTCCACCCTAAAGGCACGACACCCTTTAAAGCCCTCTCTCCCCTCCGAAGGGCAGCGACCGGGGGGCCACGCCACATGCCCCGAGCCCCGTCCCACTCACCACTCGGGCTGCTCGGCCGCCCGCGGGTTGAACCTGATGTCGCTGTTGACATTGAAGAGGAGGTCGCGGTCGGCCAGCGGGGGCAGGGCGGCGCGGTACAGCGGGTGCTGGAAGAGCGCGGCCAGCGGGGCGGCGTTGCCGGCGGGGGGCGGCGGGCGCGGCGCCCCGGGGCCGATCAAGCGCCGCGCCCTCCCCGCCGCCGCCGCCGCCGCCGCCGCGGCCCCGCCGCCCGCTCCGCCGCCCGCTCCGCCGCCCGCCGCCCGCTCCGCCGCCTCCCGCGACTGCGACGAGAGGTTGGAGGCCGGCTCGGCGCTGAAGTCCTGCAGGATCCGCAGCGTGTGCTTGCCGGGCCAGCGCGGCGCGGCGGCGCGGGGCGGCGCGGCGGCGGGCGGCGGGCAGGAGCAGCCCGGCCGGCCCTCGGGGCCGCGGCGCTCCAGGCGCGGCAGCAGGTCGATCATGATGTGCATGGTGCAGGCGACGAGGAACACCATCAGGATCAGCACCCGGAACTTGCGGACCAGGAGCATTTTCATGGCCGGGGCGGCTGATGAATTAGCGGGGGAGGGGGAGGGAGCGGAGGCGGCGGACAGAGCCCGGGCGGGCGCGGGGCTGCCGGGCCCCCCCCGGGACTCCGGCGTGCTCCTCTCGGGTCGGCAAACGAGCGATCAAGTCAATAAAGTTACCTCCATAGGCGCCGGGAAATAAACAGGCTAAACCCGATAGGTCCTCATGTCTCAGTATCATCAAGAACTTGGGAGGGGGGAGGGAAAAAAAAATAAAAGGGGAAAAAAAAATTTAAAAAGAAAGAAAAAAAAAAAAAAAGAGCTCCGGACCGAGCCTTTAAAATCAACAGGAAAACAATGCCAGCGGCATGGTAATATAGAAAGCCATCTGTTCACGATTTCTCCCTCTTTTTATTACAGGGATCACAACAAACAGGGAAAACTGGCTCTTGGAGAGAAACCGGCATCAGACACAGGCGCTGATTAAATAAAATTTAAGAAAAAATATGGGGAGGAGGAAGGGGGAAATAAAAATATTAAGAAAACCTGTACGGAAAGGCGACAGAAGAAAAAAAATCATCCATAATATTTGGCTGTGCTGGAAACGCTGACTCCTTTCCCTTGGATTTGAGCAGTGATGCAGCAGAAGCGCTCCCCGCTCGCTCTTGCTCCCTCTCTTCTCTCAGACTCTTTAAGAACATTGGCTGGAAAATCATTTTCTTAGAGCGGTTCCAGTTTCTTCATCCATCACGTCCAGTGCTTGGGAGAGATTAGTAAGTTCAACTGTGATCGAGTCTGGGTGGCTGCTGTATCCGAGCTGGGCTTGTGCTTTGGCTTGGGTTGGGTTTTTTTGGCTGCAAAACTGTCTGATGGCACAACTGCAACATAAAGGTTAAATATGGCACAGAAAAAAAAAGGGGGGGGGGGGAAGGGAGGATTAGAGGAAAGAAACTAATATAAATCAGTAGAGGTTCTTTTTAGCGAAGAGGTCTTTGATCTCTGCTGGGTCTAACAGATCTTTCTTTTAAAGAGAGCGAGAATGGAAGAGAGAAGGGGGAGAGAAGGAAAAGGGGGGAGAGATCTTTGGCAGGTGCAGAGTGAAAACCTCTTTCAGCTACACTGAATTCTGGAGACTGGTTGGACTAGTAGCTCTGCAGCTCCAGCTTTCAGTGGGTGTGTTAAATATTATGAGCGAGCCATGATTCCTGCCTTCCTCACGTCATAGTTAGGAGATTGGCTAAATAAACGCTACAGTGATAGTAACAGGAAAACCTCAACCAAAAGAGGGTTTTTTCCCCTCCTCTCCTCCCTCCTTCCCACCTCCCCCTTTTCATTCTACTGCAGCTCCAACTGGGGCAAGGAGAGGGCGTCTGTTCCACAAAGGTTTGGGAAAAAAATATATATATATGAAGGGAAAAAAAAAAGAAAAAGAGAAGCGGCAGAGGAGAGAGGGATGTGCGCTGGCAGCGCTGCGAGCAGCAGCGCGGTTGTGCCGGGCTGGGATCGGCGCTGCTGCCCCGGCACCGCCCGGCACGGTCCGCCCGCTTCCCCCGGAGCAGCCGGTGGGTCTGACCCAGCCCCAGCCCGGCAGCGGGCTGCCCTCCCTGCTGCTGCCCGCTGCCCTGCCCGGCTGGCCCGGGGCTAATGGAAGTGGCCATCGGGCTAGCACAGCCCCGAGAGTGCTGCCGGCAGCTGGCTAAGAGCGAGGGCACGCCGGAGGAAGGAACAAGCTGTTCCTGGCTCTGCAGGGCATCCGGCAGGGATGCTCCGATTTCTGGGCAGCTGTCTTTAGCCAGTGTTCCCCTGGATTCTGTGGCCCATAGCAAGTTGTTGAGTTGGGCTGTAGGACGACTGAGAAAGATGAAGTGCTTACCCCAACCCACCACCACCTTTCCACAGAAACATCTCCATGATGGATATGGTAGTCCATTTTTCCCTGCATTAAACCACATCAAAGTATTTCCTCCCCTCAAAAAGTCTTTCCTCACCCACCAGGCCCATCCAGCATTGTTCCCTTACTGGCACTTCTGCAGAGCCCAGTGCTTTGCACTCCTCTGAAGCACATCCGTGCAGTGTTATAGTGTCACCATCTTTTGCACAAGGGAAATCACTGACTTTCCAGCAGGAAAAAACAGATTGATATACCAAAAAAAAAAACAAACAAACAAACAAAAAAAAAAAAAACAACAGGGCCACGATCCTATGGACTACTCTGCACCTTTGTGGAGAGACAAAATTTGTTGTCCTAGGGAGACTTTGTAGTCCCAGGGTTCAGAGGTACACCCTGATCCTTCAAGTACAGGTGTATTTAGTCACAGAAAAACATTTTGCTGCAATGCCAGAAGCAAGGCTTTCTGTCTTTTCCCACTTTTTTCACCAAGATCAGCTTGGACAAAGGCTGTCTGGACAGCTGACTTTGTGGCTGATGGAGGAGGGCAGCAGAAGCCAGCCAGGGGTGAGTGCAGGGTATGTGGTTCCCTGTGTATCACTTAAGTTACACTTTACTGTGGCTTTTTAAGGAGTTCTGGGGGAGCTGTTTTAGCACTTCAAGTGGGGCTAGATAACATAACACTTTATCTCCTTTAGCAAGGCACAGTACAATTTGTAGGTTGCAAATTTTAGTTGCATTTTCTTAGTGTTGGCCCTACTAAAACTTAGGCCTATGGTGTTAGATGAGGGTGAAACTGAACAGGTCTGCTGAGAAAGTTGAAAATTACTTAAATGAGTTCTTTAAGTTAAAGTTGTTTGAATTTACTTTACAGTAAAAGAACATTGTGTCAAACGTTGTAACTCCATGTGTAAGAGCAGTATAATGAAAGGGAGACTGGCTTTGTAATATAATGCAAGAAACTAGATGTAGTTCATTAAAGGACTTTCAAGAGGTGAAAATGACAATACTCTGAACAAAAACTAATTCCTCTAGATGACATGTTTTTGTTTTTATCAGTGTGACCTTTAGTGTATGTTGGCTATTTAGTTAAATATGGTTTCATCTAAATTCTGTCTGCCTGTAAACTGAATCTCCCTGTCTTCTACAAGCTGTCTATTCCTTGAGTCTTTTCAACATTTGAGTTTTATCTCAGGATGTGAGATTGGTAGATGTACTGTACTTTCTTCTGTAACTGGCCTTTGTGGACATGTTTTGGCTGGACCAAAGTGCCCCCAGAGATGTGAATAAAAGATGAAAAGGGATCTGTCTTATGTCTCTGTGTTTGTTTCTCAACCTCAGTATATACAAATGCCTTTGGCCACTGATTGGTCATCTGTGAAGTAGGATGCACTGGCCAGTTGGTGAATCCGGCAGAGAGTGAGCTTGTAGCTTTGTTTTGCACAATGGGAAATGCATAATTCCTCGTTTCCTGAGCCTTTCTCCCCCTGGCCTGAAGGCCGGTAATGACCAGCACCAGCAGTGTGTTACAGCCCCTCTGTGCCTCTAAGCTGTGAGGATTGGTGAAGCCAAGGGAATCAAGGCAGAGCTCAGCTGGCTCTCCCCAAAGCCCTGTGGGTTCCCCCTCAGCCCATCACACCAGGAGGATGTCAGCCCACCTCTTTTCTTACACACCTTTCCCGTCAGCAGCTGCAAGAGCACAGCCCTACTCTTGTCCTGGAGTCACTGTGCCCTCTCACCTCCCCAGATCATGTTTGGGGACACAAAATGACTGCCAATCTCACCTTGGCATTCCTGCTGGTGGCCCCGTGGGGCTGGCAGAGAGCCCGGTGCTCTGGCCAGGGAGGTGGGAACGGAAGGAGCTGCTGGGTTGGGAGGGCTGAGGTGGCTTGTGGTCAGGAAGCCTTGGATTGTTGGTGTGTGAAACCACTGGGAGAAGCCAGGAGCTGGGCTGCAGGTCAGGACAGCCTGGGAATTGGGTGGCGGGTGGCAGGCAGACTCAGGGACCAGGTCTGAGGTATTCCAAGGCTAGTGCAGCATCCGAGGACAACCTCATTGCTAGCCCATGGCAAGTGTGGGCTTGGTGCCAGGGAGTTTGTGCTTGTGCTGGCATCTGGGGGTTGTGTGATCCACCCCTGTTAGGGAAGGGTTCCCTTTTTCTGCTGCAAGGGAAGAAATGGGGATTTGTGTCCAGCCAGCTCAGCTCTACATTCCTGTCCATGTACTGTGAGGCCCTGGCCCCTTCCCTTCCAGTGCAATGTTTGTATGCAAGTTACCTCCTCTGGCTTCAAATATTTGCCTTCCAGTCTTGATAAAACCCCCAAAATTTTTGGTGACTGATGATTATTGTTCAAACAGGCTTTTAAGTACCAAACTTGTGTGCATAGAGCCACAGGGTCTTTGTAATCATGCCTGATTTGGGCAACTCTTAGTTAGATGATAGTTGTTTATTATTTAATTTTGCAACTTAACTTGGTCTTAGTAAGGGATATTTAAATATTTCTCCTTAACTAAACTCTACACCTTCATGTGGAATTCCAGTATGTGGCAAAGAACTTTCTATTTCTGCTACGCTGTGTGTTGGACCAGTATTACCCCTGTAATTGCTGGCATTATGTAAACAAGAAAATAATAAGTTCCTAATGGAATATTATGACACCAATAAGTCATTGCATACAGCTCATTTCAATAATATAAATGAAATCAAGTCATTTACATCAACTCTTTATTTTATTTTTGGTCACTGAATTGAAATCTTTCCTCTTTTATTGAAATACTTGAATGTTATTGGGAATTTCACTTTAAATTGCTGCAATCACAAACCAGGATTGCTTCGGATCTAACAGGCTTCTTAATTTGGTATTACAAACTGGCATTCAGCACTTCTTTGCATGTTCTACTTTTGCTTTTATTGAATAATACAATCAAGAATTCAGGAGGGCTTACTGTCGTATGTCCTGGCATTTCTTCATTGTTTTGTGCAAGAATTAATACCTTATCTGCTGCTGAAATCTGTGTAGATGTTTATTTTCCCCATTTTTGTCTGCCTGCCTGGCTGAGCAGCGACAATGGTCAGTGTACGTGATAGCGTATTCAGGTAAATAAATGAAGCATGGTTTTGGGTGAGTAAACATACCCAGCTATTATTTTCTGCTATAACAGTTTACAGCCTTCTGATGTAAAGCCTGAATGCAGCAGGGCAAGCTGTAAGTCAGGCCTGATTGCACACTTTGAATCAGTGTAATATTTTTATTGTTACTTCTAATGGCAAAATGGATTTTCTTTTTTCTGAGAGCCTCTGTCTATGATGCTGGAAGTCCTGAGGGCATCACATGCCTTACCTGGCCCCTGTGGCCTTCCTGCCCAGGTCTTCCTGCTCTCCCTCTCCTTCCTCCCTCAGAAGATTCATGTGCTGACCTAATTTATTGGTGCTTTGCCTTATAAACACAGATTACACTGGCACTCTGATGGGTACTGCATATTAACCTCCCACACTGCCAAAATCACTTTTATTGCTAAGGAATACACTTGGTACTGAACAGGAGGTGATTCCATAAGCTTGATTTCCCCGTCAGCTTCTTCTGTGTATGAAGAATCAGCAACACACGTTTCAAGTGGTGTGCTGATATTTTTTCAACAATGCATACTAATGGTCTTTTGGCTGCCTTCTGAACCAGGGTTTTGTTACGTATTTGTTTTTTTTTTTTTTTTTTTTAATGAATCTTGAGCAAACCTCCACTCCCAAATCACAGAGGCTGTGCAGTCACTTGCTCCTTCCCATGGTGGCTTTGCCAAGGTTGCCTGAAGGGGCACTGAGCTGCAAGCTGGAGCTCAACAGAGCTGAAAGGAGAGACTGGTCCTGTCAGATCATCAGGGCAAGGGGGGCTCTGTGTGGAAATGCATCACCAGCCTCAACTGATTTCAGGAAGCCAAAGCTTCCAGCTCCAGCCTTTTGCTTTTGAGTGTTCCCATTCTTTAATTTGGGATACAATATTCTGGATGATCTAGACCCCCAGGGATTTCTGGATCAACCTGCTGAAAGCACTGAGCTGGTTATTCTAACAGGAGGTTTTTTCCCTGCCTGTTTGTTACTCCTCAGCCGTTGCTGCTGCAGATCAAGGGTTGGCTCCTCAGCTGGTATCAGCTGGCCCTGGTTTCAATGAAATGCCATCTAATTATATCAGCTGAGGATCTGGGCCACAATGCTTAATTCTTCTCCTGTTTGGAACAAAGAGCTTCCTGGCCATGCCAGAACAAAATTCTTGTTGTTGCTGGAGTGATGGGGTTGGGCCTGTGGAGGGATCACATTTGCTGCAGGCATTCAAGTGGAGTAGTGATCTTGCATGTAGCTACATTACAGAGGGGCTGAGAAATTACCTTCCTGAGTAGTTGGATGTTAGAAAGAAAATTAGCTGTTAGGAGGTTGTGTTCTTATCTAAAAATTATTCCTGAGACCAAGTCAAAACAAATTATCTTGATGTGCATGACATAAGAGTATGCACTGCTTGAGTTATCATAATTTCATCTTCTTACAGGAACTAATTCCTCTAAAAGTAATTGTGATCAAATAGCCTGTGTTCCTTGTGGACTTCCTGAGTTAGTGCATGATTCTTTGTAAAGCACAGA